ACAACAAGGTCCCCCTACAGGATGCTTTGCTGCCTTGCTGAGTCCAGATTCAGGACTGACATGCCTCCGGCTGGAACTATAAAGGAGCAAGAAGCTCAATTCAAAGCATGTGCTTGCTTTGGAGGGCCATGACGGAACCGGACGTAGCACCATTACATCGTTCCTGCACTGAGAGGTTGACGGCATGTGGGAGCCGCAGTAGCCAATGAACATCTAGCGTTTGTTGGCAGCCTCCATTACCAAAGTACCTTGCATGTACTGAGTTGCTGTCGTATATCTTGCAACAGGGTACCTGCCGGGTGGGGAAGGACAAGGTCACCGTCGCCCGTGGCTGCTGCGGAGCAGTACTCGGCTATTGCGAGCGGCCTTGTATTCGCACGAAACTGCGAACTGCGACGAATGGTTACAGCTTTATTTACCGCCGGTGGGGACCTATTCTCCAGAGCAAAAGTCGTAGCGATCAAAGCGGGATGTGAACGACTAGGCCAGCTACAGGCCATTCCTCCAAGCGTCATTGGATGGGTGCTGTATCGTACCATGCCTAGTGTTTGAGTACACGTACAGTACTTGGCTAGTTCTGGTAAACAGCAGATAGGATGCTCCTGTTTTGCAACAGATAGAGCGGCCTAGCCTGGACGAGGAAATGCAGATGAATGCGGTAACAATGACTTGTCTCCATGCTTTGCCACATGTTCATCGTCTCTTCTTAGCACGGAAAATGCCGACTGCGGAAAAAAGCTAAATCGCAGTGGGGTCTGCCGAAACTCTGAGGTTTGAAAGATGCCGTCTGAGGAATCTCATTGGATCGCGCAGCCAAGCATCCTAATGCAAGCTGCAGATGCGTTACTTCATGGTACTACTACTAGCAGTGGTACCATGGCGATAATATCGCTGCAGGTGCTAGCAGTAGTATTAGAACCGCAATAGGAGACGTTTTAGCAGTGGAGAGGAGGTAATGTGCGAAGTATTCGTGGTCGAGACTCACTTATACACCGGTAGCATAAAACATAAAGCAGCAATGCTGGAGACAAATAGCAGCGTTAGTACCATGACTTGGCAAAGCTAAGCGAGGAGTCGTTGTATTGAGGGCTTTCAGTTTACCCTCTTGTTGTTCCCTCTCGAAATGGAAATGCTACGCGGCTTGGTCATGCTCGCATGCCTGCCCTCTCCCCTCGCACACCATTTTGTGTTATTAAGGCACATACCATATAAGTGCAGTAGAGTCCTCAAAGGACACACACCAAAAGTTTAGCAGGGAACACACGCAAGTAGCGCCCTGGAATTTCACTGGTTCCAAGTAGATGGCAGTAGCACAAAGCTGAATCGGAAAAGGAAGGGTCTAAGACACGCCGCCGCCTCCTCGGCTCACAAGGGTGCAACGAGTTTAGTGCGGCTTTTCGGTTTATTTTCCCCGGCTGACTGCTTCGTATCTCTCTCATCATCGGTGCGGCGGACGACGTCTGGCTTGTCTTGGATCAGAGACGGCTCATGGCGCGGCCGTAGATGCGGCCCAAGTTACTTGGAAGTGGGATGGGCATGTGCAGATTACTCGACGTTTTAAAATAGAAGGCCGATGAGAGCTGAGGACCGCGTGCTAGCGCAAGCAGGGAGGCCGTATCCATACTTGGAGATGGAGACGCCAAAGTACCAGTCTGATAAAAGTAGGTGCGCGAGTATAGCGGCAGAACATCGTCCCATGCGGCCAGCAACCTCAGTGCCTGTAGTGGTACATGTGAGAGCTTTGTTTTGGGTCGAAAGGAGGCGTATCCTGGATGGGAATGCTCGTACGCAGTGCTACCTATATGTATCAATGGCCTTATTATGCATCCATGCATGCAGGCAGACGCACGGAAAGCTGCTAAGTAGTTCTGGCGAGGCTTGGGAGCCCCTCATAAACAAGGTCGTTCACTCCCACTCCGTTAGACGTGCAGATCGGGTCGTCCATCCGCGCGCATTTGCTCGGAAGCTGGAGGCTCGAGATTGGTCTTAACGGAACTCTGACCCTGGCCCGGGCGAAAAGAGAACCCAGCGGATTACATAAACGCGCGGCGTGCCTTATACTGTAGCAGTTGTGCCGCCTGCTAGTTAAAGCAAAGAGGTACAGCTAGCGTTTTGCGGACTTCTCTGATGTGAGCATATTGTGATTGTGTGCATTTGAACGTACGTGTACGAAGCACACAAACAACAAAGAGCATCTTGAAAGCAATAAACGGTGCGACGGCTGCTACTGGCATCCACGATAGCACCGGATTATTACTGGATGAGACCGTCCGTTTGAGATGTGTCACCCCGGTCGAGTCCTACATGGATCGGCTCGAGTTGTTGTTTCTATACAGTATCTGCTCCGCCCGCTGCCTCCGTACTCCGTACTTTTGTCTCCATACCTGTTTGCTTCTGCCCCCCGTATATCTGGCCTCCCTACACGTGCATAAGTTGTAGATACGCTTGCGTGCTAGAAGCTTGTGTTAATATGAGCTTGTGGGCATGTACAAAGAATGTTTGTACAGGCAGGCAGTCGTCTGCGCTCTCTATGCCTGTCTCGCGCTGCGAGCCCGCATCTCAACAACTTCTGCTATTTTAGCGGTCTCTGCAAGGAGATGCTAAGAAACGACTAGCCGCGCATCTTCAAGCATGTCATGACTGCTGCGTGCTACTAGCGGTAGTAGCACTACCTAGTGATACTAGTAGGATAGTATCTGAACATCTGGCTAGGTACTGTAGGAGAGGCACTCGTAGAGGCGGTTTTTTGATTCCCTGTTTAAAGAGCGACCAGTGTGTATCACATCTGGCATCTGTTTGTCGGCCCGCCGGTGGGTAATTCTTGCGCGCGGGGATGACATCTCGCGGCAGATGCACCAGATTCGTTCGTATCATCAACGCCTTTTTAAAGATAAACACTGTCGTACAAGGGTATCAGCATGTTATCAGCCACCGCCATTCGTACGTAGTACTACTATAGCTGTTGCATCGGCAAAACGTAGAGGAGGAAGTGGGAACACTGTTCATACAATGTCCGAACTTGTACGAGAAGAACACTAACCTGGTCCTGATACTATTCCGTGCTTCCATATGGATAAGTCGATCTGCTCAAAATACTACTATTACTAGTAATACTAGTATGTGTAGTAGCCCACACACGGCCTGACTCCCCATATTCGTTGCTAACCCTGACTTGTCGTTATTTTAGACTGTTTCTTATCCTGCATATAGGTATACGTTCGGGGTACCTAGTTGTGCATTCTCGTCTTCACCTTCTCTAAACAAGCATATCCAGTTTTGGCTTTGCGTGTTTGGCGGAGCCGAAGGCGGTGACAGGTCAGCATCAAGCTGTCTTTTCAGCCGCCCAGAGCCGGCCCACGTCGACAACTGGTTCTGCATTAACAAGGCTTGGCTTGCCCATGGTCCAACTCAGCTCAATGGGGAAAGTCTAGAGCATCGATGCTGCATCATAAAGAAATCTAACCCTCTCCACAAGGAGGTCCTCTCTTTGGGTAAAACTTACGAGTGGCAGTCAGTCGTTCTGCAATAGATACAAGTATGTAAGTAGAGGGGGGTGTAAAAGCGGACAGCAAGCCACACTCACAAGGTCGTGATTTAATTCCCCATTAATGAGTCAGTCGCTTTTTGTTCGCACTTCCGTCGCCGCTTCCTAGTCGGATCGGCCTTTTGCCTCCCTGGCAGACGCAGTAGTCTACAAACCCGGCATCCACAACAGCCCTACCTTGCAACCAACCCAATGGCATCCATGCTGTCTGCTTTTGCCCCCAGCTTGCGAAAGCCATTGCAACCCCGCCACAATGCGGAAGGCCAGTAAATTGTCGATAGAAATCAGAGCTATTGTTGTCCGCAGCAGCCAGAAATTGTGGCATTAGCATTCTATGTCGCGTTTCTTGGGAGGATGATTGTCCACTAGAGGGCTGAGCAGTTTTGGTAGATTCAACGAAAGTGGTAGGAGGTGCTACCTGCTGACCTGGAGCGTAGAAGAATGTCGCATACACTCTACTACGCATCTAGACGAGTCTAGACATATTGTGTCCCAGTATCCCGCTACCTATACTTGGCGTTAGAAGCAATGTTCTATGCAGAACCCGGTAGCTCTGCGGCGCCCCATACACCCTCTTGGTGTTATCTGGGCATTCGTATCCCACGTTTATTCAAATACCAGTAGCCAAGTGAGCAAGTGCTTTGGGGTATAGTCCGGCGCACGAGAAGATCAGCGTGCTGTTCTGTTGGTAAGATGAGGATGAGAGAATGAGGAAATAATAAATACAAATGTAAATGTGTACAGAGCACTGGCACATTCTACAATTGCCAAATGCTGGGGAGAGACAAAAAGACGTCACTGCTAGTCGTATCGATAACGAAGCGAGATCGAAATTGCAAGCTTAAAGACGTTGGAGAAAGTCCCACCGGAGACATGGCGATAACGTGACAGCGACGACGACAACAGCAGTCGTACCTCGTACAGTACACGACAGCATCAAACATCAACAAAAACAACAAGAAAACAACAAACACGGTGTGCATACGCGCGCACATGCATCCATCCACCGCACGGCCACAGATGCCGAGTACCTCGATGCACGGAGAGCCGGCCCAGCCAGAATGTAGCTACTTACAGCGTACATATGCACGGTACTATGGCGCCTCCATCTCGAGACGAGAGCCGGCCCTGAACCGACCTGGTCCTAGTCAAGACACGGCAAGGCCAGAACCTCAATAGGTAAGCCATTCAGCCTAAGCAAAGAGGCAAGTCGCCGTATCTTGCACCCGCGAGCTCAGCTAATAAACAAGAGTTATAGCAGCAGCAAGCGAAAATGGCCCAGCCAAGCCGCCACCAACCCCTCTCTTCCTCCACTCTTAGAGCCCTGTGGCTCTCGCAAGCGCGACATCTGCCTCATCCGGGCAGAGGGTAGCTCCAGAAGGCAGCTCTAGTGGGCGAGTAAGACGGAGCCAGGAGATCTGCTGCTCCCTTGAGTCTCCGTCCAGGTAGCACAAGCATGGCGGACAAATCTTTTGCAACTCCAAGGCGCCCCATGCTCGTGGTAGCCACAGACAAGCAAAGGCCACGCCCACGTCGATTGGATCGGGCGCGAGACGTCGCCCATTTGCCTCCCGAGCTGTCTTCCAGCACACGCAGCACAGCCTTTTTGCTTCACAGCACGGAGCACTTCCGAAGCCCAATATGGCGTAGCCACGCAAAGCCGTGTATTCCCTACCGCAGCACGCAGGGCACTCGCATATTGAGTAGCCCCTCTATCGCCATGTACTAGGTATTCCTGCTCATCTCCCCAGACGCGCAGCTGCAGCAGCCGCTCACAGGCACACAAAGATCCTGGAGCTGCAACGCTCCCTGCCTTTGCCTGCCTGCCTTCCATCCTGTCTGCCTAGCTCTCCAATGGGAGTGTTTTTCTTTTCAAACTAGTCTTATCAAGGGACATGCTGTTGGAAGGTTCGCTTCTTGCCCACTTGGTTAACTTTGTTTCTCCCATCTAGTGCCTCATCCAGCCGATTCGTTGGCATCTTCTCGTCTGCCTTGACGGCTTACAGTTATGCGTCTTACAGACCCTACACGTAAACATCGGTATAACCAATCCCCCGCATTCGACAGACACCATCTCTCGGTTCTTTCTGTTGCCATGACAATTGCTATCTCTGCCCTTTGCCACATGGTCGATAGTGTCTATTAGGTATGTTATGATTGCTATTCATCCTCCTCCGTCATGGGTTTGTCTTGTCTTGTCTTGTCTCGATGCCGTTGTGTGATTTCCTCGCCATTCATCAGCTTGTTCGACCATCATCATCACCTGGGTAGTGTGCCGCTACTGACTTGAGCTTTTCCAAGTGTTAAGGAGGATCAGAGAGAGAGAGAGTCCTCTGCGCTGCAGTTTGTGGTATTTACTATTTCCTTTTCTTCTCCCTTCTTCTACCTACATTTTCGTCCCTTCTTCTATTTGGCTCCATCTAATTCCCTCCACGTCCATCTCTACTCTGTTTCCCGCCAGTTCATCAAGCTTGGCTGAGATTTTTATTTTTTCGACCCCCCCCGCCCTACTTTCTCACACTCCCTTTCTGAAACGACACGCCCTCCCTCCTCACCCTGTTAGTCGACGTCCCATCGATTCCCTAATCAGATCATATACTCTGATACGTGCACACATCCTCTCACTAGTGGAATCGACTACACGCCTTCTCCACAGTGGCACGGTGCCCGCTCCGGCCCTTGTCGCTGTTCACTCCTGCTAGTCTTGCCGGTGCTCTCAGGTCCTGGCGCTGTCCAGTTTCTGACTGTCTTGCCTTTACTTTTTGACCGTTGGCAGCCCCCCCCTGCGCGAGCCCCTCGTTGGCCAACTCCGTCCCGCGGTACTCTGTCTCCATTCTAGGAAACACTACCTGTACGGGTAGTGTACTGTATGTACTTCGTACACGCAAGGAGTGGACGGACCTCAATCTCTGATATGGATAGCCTGCATGTGCCCGACAGGGTTTCTTCAGCCCTCACTCTATCTGCCTTCTTACCTGTACTGAGTATACAGGCTCTGTTGACACCACAACTACTCCCAATAAGGGTAGTTAGCTTATCCTCGAACGTTCTGCCCCAGCCGACAGCCACAGCTACTCTTGAGCTAGTCGTCACCTCCATCCAGCCCACGCTTCGACATATAACACAAAAAGTAATATATCCACTGCGTACGCCTCCACAGCTTCCCGTCTTCCTGCTCTTTCCTCTTCGTCTACTCTTGATTCTCTATCCCTTGCTTTCGCCCCCAGCTTTTATAACCCAGTCTTCCCTGCTCGTACTCTCGTTTATGACTTTGACGGTTACAAATATTTGATTCTTGCATGCCCTGCCCCAGGCTCTTTTTTTACTGCCTTCAAATGCCTACTTAAACACATGCATACACTCTTGTAACTCACGGCATATGTGATGATGCTCACCATCAAGCAGCAATCGACGACATACGGCTACAAGTCCGTCCATGATTTGCCAACTCCGCCCTCCACCTCCCGACCCTCTCCTCCCTTGAACCACCAAGATCCTTCTTTCAAACCGTATCTTGTCTCTCAAAACAGCCCGGTCCAGCCCATGTCTACTTCTCATCGTGGTCTGCCTCCGCCGGCAGCCATGACTCTACCCCCACAGCAGCCTTCCTCCGTTGGCCCTCCGCCGCCGCCGCCACATCATTCTCAACCACCTCCTCCACCACCGCTGGCACCGTCCTCCCACCAGGCGCAACAACCATGGCCTTCACCTTCAGCTGGCCTGCCTCCGCCGCCGCAACAATGGCAAGGAGCTGAAGAATCTATGAAGACTTGGCTTCAGGCCAAAACGGAAGAGGAGAAGACGAGGCAGGAAGAAGAGAAGACTAGACAAGAGACTTTACGTCTAGAGCAGAGGAGGATTGAAATGGATATTCTGCGAGCTTCTCTGAACGGCGGTATCCCGCCTCCCATTGTCCCTTTGGTCTTTGCTGGTATGGGAAGCGGGGGAACGCTCCCCCAGGCCGCTCTTGAATGGGCACAGCAGTTCATGGCTCCGGCCCAAAGCCACCACCCCCAGCTACTTCCACCACAGAGGCCGCACTCGCCAGATCACCCAAGAGAGCCCATGGTTCCTGGTCATGGAGTAGTGTATGCCACTTCTCCAGCGCAGGTGACCCCAGTCCAGGGAACTGTCGGATATGCACAATATCCAGGTTCGCCAACGAGGCCAAGAGGGCAGACCGTCTCAGGTGTTATTGGACGACCGATGGGAGTGGTATCAAGCACGGCAGGCATGGGAAATCCTCCTCAACCCCCAGGACAAGGACCGCCTCCCGTGATGCCACCTTATCAAGCTCATCAAGGGCATTCGCACACGCCGTCACAGTCATCTCAGCACGATACGAGCCCATCAATCTACTTTCATCACTGGCAGCCGCCGGCAACGCAGAGCGGGAGCAGCTCGAACCGGCCGGGATCACCCTCTGGTTCGTCAAAATTCAAGAGAAAACGAGACTCTCTTTAAAAGCTAACTTGGATGTGTGCCGTTGTCAATAGGGGAGGCTCAGAAAAAGCGAAAAACGACTGGAGGAATGTCTCAGCAGGTACCAAGAGCTCCAAGCGAAGACCGATTCCGATCGCCTCCACCCTTTGCGCAAGCCAGCTCTTCCAATCCCGCATCACCCAGCCGAAGGTCGCATAAACGTCAACGGAGCGACGTATCATGGTATCGGCCCTCAAATCAGATGTATAGCGAAGATCCAGATCGACCCCGAGCAAGAACCCCAACGCAAGCTCCTTCATGGGGCCCCACGCCACGAGAGAGAGAGGAATCAAGAAGCGCAAAACAATCAGTTTCCTCGCTGCTATCCCGCGAGCCTGACGACTCTGGCGGACTGCCAAGGCAAGGTCCTCAACCACCACGGCTTGAGCCACCGGCGCCGATGCCACGCGCCAGGGGGCCAGGAGACCAAAGACCTGGCGAGAGGGGTGGAGAGCTGCCTCTACCCCAAGGAGAAGCCGACCCGAGGTCTCGACCATGAGGTGCTAGGAGTGTGTGAATGAAGGAATGATTCGAGTCGGATTGAATCCTACGGATGACAACTCCCAGGATACTTTCGGATGACTGGCTAGTGACATCCACTAAAGCCACGGAGTAAACGGCTGCGGCGCCGTTTTGAGACCTCTCTCTTACTCTCTATGGCATCTTGAACGGCCCTACAGCATATTTCTTCGCTTTTTTTTCTAAGCCCTTTTAACTCTTTTTTCCGTTCTACGATCATAGCCGGCCGGTTTGGCTTCGATCGGCTTTTACTGTATATTTGATTTTGCATACGTCAGGCACCATCCTCGCAGGAATCCTTTCGAACTTCTACAACTACCACTGGAGCATGAATGAGCCGGGTCGAGCATGACGTTTCAAAGACTAGAACGGCTGTCGTATAACATAAGTTTCCTTTTGGAGACTTGCAAGGCATGGGCGTTGTCTTTCTTCTTATTCTTTTCTTATTCCATTTTTTTTTTCCGTTTCTTCTTTTATTGTTACAATGGGTGGCGTGGACTGGAAATCTTTTGAATTGCATGGTTAGAAAAGTGTATTGGTAGGATTATGTGTGTATGTATGCAGGGGCGAAGAAGGGATGGAAGAAGAGAGCGGGAAAAAAAGGTTGAATCAGGAGCAATTACCACATTGCCCTAGCTGAGCAAGGATGCAGTTTCAGCAGCACTTAACGGCGGTGGCATGCACAGGATGTTTTACTGGGTTTGTTTTGCATGGCAGCACAAAGCAGGATTTACTAGTGTTGATATTTTTGACGAGGCATCTGTGAACAAGCGAAATAAAAGGCTGTTGGGTCCATTGGAACAAGTTCATGTTCTCGTCATCGGAGCTTACTTTTACGACTTAGGCAGTGAGAAACGCGAGCGCAAACGACGACGGTTGGTTGTACAGGGGCTTCCGGGTTGCCAATCACGGGCACGTCCAAAGTAGATGAAACAGATGACCCATGGGGATGGTACAAGCTCAGCAGCCCTGCTTACTGTCGTGAAAAGGGCCTCGCAAGAACGGGCATCGGGCCCGAAACAGAGGCCACTTGAGCGATCGGTCATATGATATCGGCGCAGCCGCGTAAGGCCCATCCGGATTCCGAGCAGGGCTGGAGCCATTGTGGGTGGCAGCAGCAGTGGTACTGGTAGTCGACGTTTGCTGGCATGTGGTAGCAGCAGCATTTGGTGGTGTTGCTGTAGCAGTAAGTGGCGGTGTCTACGGACAAGGAGGCACATGCATTGCCTATCTCGATATATCGCACAGGTAGGGATGCTGAATCAGTGCAGGACAAGGGGGGCAGCACGATATGGTAACGGCGATGTGACGAGAGAGGAGAGGAGAGGAGCAGCGTTTCGGAAGATGCGAGGTCCTGTAATATTTTGGACGCGGCAGCTTTGCGTGCGCAGGGATGTGATGCCAAGCAGGAGCCAAGTGTCAAGAGCCAGGTTGCCAGGGTGCGAATAGTTTGTAAGTGATTGTATCCTATCTCTTGATTTCTCTAGAGGTACTCGTAATTGCTCAATGCTATTAGGTAGTATTATCATACAGCTAGCATTAGAGTAATACACAATACCTATTGTGTGCTTTACATGGTAAGCTTTGTATTCTGCATTAGACGGGCGTACCTGGCAGTAGTGCCTGGGCTGCCCCATGATGATCACAGAGTTGGTGGAGAAGAGAGTTTTTTTTTTAAACCTCTTCCCCTTTTGTATATATATTACCGCTTGTGGGCAATATACATATATACTTGTTTGAACGGAATTGGACATTATTCCATCTCAATTAAATTGATGTTGGATAAATGAGGCAGAGCTCAGAAGCGGAAACTTGGATTGGGTTGCAAACGACGCCCGTTATGGACACGATGCATGCAATGCCTCGGGGCTTTTTGATGTACACCCCTGAACGCCAGACCCTTTGGGCGTCATGGCCCGGGTAAGCATTTATGCTTTGCGGGCGGCCCAGAGAGCCCCTTAAGGAGGAATTTTTTCTTTTCTTTTTTGTTTTGGGCTTCTGTACTCGTACTTGAGTGTACTGATTGAGGAAGTCTGTCGTGCCTCGGTGTTACAAGTCAGGGGAGCGGTACCTGGTTCTCTTGTCTGCATCTGGCTCTTCGTAAACCGCTTAGCAAAGCTACTAGTAACTTTCCTTGTATGAGATAAAACTGCGGACGACTTTCTCCGTGATCTCTCCTGGGTTTCTTACTTTTCGGGAAAGCTAAGCACTGTACTAGGGAAAACGAGAAAAACGACGAGAGCGAAAGAGGGAAGAGAGAGATGCTGTTTCAGACAGATTGCACTAAAACCGGGTATCGCTACGGAGCATCGCCGAGGGGTTTTTTTTTTTTTTTTTTTTTTTTTTG